TGTAGTTAGGGACAAATCTGTCTTTTGTAGATAGAAATTCCATTGCTAAAAGATAAGTTGACCTTGCCTCAAAATTATCACTAGCGATACGGAAGCCAAGGGTAACATTTTGCAAGAGCTGGGAATGTTCATTGATCTCCTTTACAGCAAATGCCAGAGCCAAAGTGTGCTGGTAGTTATGAGTGAGGAACCTTCAGGAGGATTATAAACTAGGTCAATATAATTGTGCTATAGAATCCGACAGTTATTACTTTTTATTGTTACGTATATTCATGCACAGAAAAAAGAAATGGCGCTAAATATTTCTCTGGATACCTGGAAGTTTGGCTTTATAAAACAATAGCCCAGCACTGTATGGGTGTGGAAACCCTGACCAAGAGGGGTTACATACATTTGAGATAAGAGAGTCACTTTTGCCTGGTTTCTTCTCTCTTTAGGATTCCCATTCTGGGAAATTTCTAAATTGATTGAGATTGCTCTTTTGGGATTGCTTGGGATGAAATAATATTCCAACTAAGTGTGAATGGAAGGGGGAGAAGTTGCACGTGATTTCAATTTTATGGGCAGAACATTAGGCACTTCTCTGTATTTTGTTGTGGTTGCTAAGTCAGTTTAAATATACCATAAATGACTACTGACTTGTAATACTGTAGTCTGAAACAACTTCTCAATAGTACTCGAGGTTTTCTTCATTTCCTGGGTGAGATGAAGAAAACAAATCTCAGGATGAGTCAGAACATCCAGAGTCTTTTATGAGGGTATCTGAATGTCCTAGATTGGTCATGCTATTGACCTCATGAGCAGGATGGTGGGGATGGAAGGCAGAGCACTTGAAATTTCCATAAGGTTGTGTGGATAACCAATACATCTGAGTACAAAAAGTGAAAGAAACAAAGCATCTTTAGAGAATAGCATCTGGGGCTGGGAGTGGTATTGGTGGTGGTTAAAATATGATACTTACAGGTACTGATCAAACACTTCATGAGAAGGAAGACTTTGAAAAGTGATCTCATTTGAGAGAAAGAAGAGTTGAAAAATAATGGCAGGAATAATGAGGTCTCCGGACTGATAATACTTGTGAACAATTGGAAGAGGACCACTGATACTGCAATTAAGAAGAGGAGAAATGCACATCACCTTAGGAAGAAAAATTAACACTAGTGTTCTGAATATAATCATCTCAGTATAAACTATGGCTATTTAGAGATGAAAAAGTAGATCCCATGTTTCTGAGGAGCAGGGTCTGAATTAACCAGTTACTCATTACTATAGTATGAAGTAAAGGCAATCAAGTATCAGAGATCAGACATGAATCTTTATCTGAGTGTATTTAGCAGTATTAATGTAATCTGGGACCATAGTTTTGTCAGTGGCTAATGGGATTCCCTTGAGACATGGAGGAAGAGGAACTTTGGCTCTATTTAATTACTGGGGAAATAATTTTCAAAATGTCCAAAGAAAACATGTTTATCATATCTCAATAGTCAGCACTGGAGTAAAAAATGTGGATGATACTATATGCACAAAAGAAAAAAATATTTCTGTTATGAAGTTGCTTCAGTTTG